GCGCTGGTTATCTGCTGGTGGCTGGCAACCCACCTCCCTTCAGCACAGACGCTGGATCCTATCCGACAGACGGCCGTAACGCATGCCGTTGTCACCACGAACTTATCATGGGGCTGGTCGGGACACGGAGCCGGCACCTAACAAAGGTTAAAGCATTACACCCTGTCAGATTTTCACCTGCCAGATTTTCCATGTCTCATTCCGATTAATCACCCTTGCTGCAGCCAGGGCGATTAATCTGAACGAGATACGGAAATCAAACACAAAGTATATGACGACACTGTGATAAAGTGTTCATATACTTGCTACTTCTTTTATGGGACCACAAATGTGTTTTGTTTTTTTAACTAGCTGTATGGCAACCTTGCCTTTATGTGAAACAGATAGATATGTAATTAGAATACAATGGAAAAAATTACAAATACGTTATGCATAACATAAAGCTCAAGGTTTATGACAATAACATTATTTCTGCTGGCTTAGAGTTGTAAAAAAATAATGAAAGCTAATGCTAACATTAGCTAATGAAGGAACTACTTGAAAACAAGTTTGATGCTGTAAAATACAGCTTTTAGAGGCAAGGGCAAGTCCCTGGTATATCAAATCAATTAATAGAGACTTGTAACTGCTCGGACCTTGGATAAATAGTCATTAAACAGCTTGCAGAGAAAGATGCCGTTCAGTTATCAGACTAGAGGGGATTCAGTCCAGCACCATGACTTTGATAAGCCCAATGACTGCTAATACATTGCACACAATCAATATTTTAGTCTTATTTTCTAAACTTTGGGATTAGCAAGCACAGGAAGAGTATTGCTGCCAACCTTACCGTTTAAAAAGGAAGTTATTACATGGCTAAATCCAAAAAAGGCACATGTGAAACCAAGGGCACCGCTGAAAGCCACTCCTTCAGAAGGGGCAGGAACCACTGCTCAAGGCTTAGGTGCTAACTTTGGGCTTGGGAAAGCTGAGCTCAACTTCCCGCTCCGCAAAGCCTCTACCATGCACAGACAGAGAAGCAACAACGCTCCTCTAACACATCACTCCTCTGCGTGTCAAACACCAGCAGCACTGTCACTCCAACGCGAGGACAGTGACAAACATGGAAACGGGAGGCAGGGAAAGACCTGGCCCTTCAGGTAAGACCTTTCATAATTTTACCCCAAATCATGATGTCTTCTCCAAACCATCCCTGCTTCTTGCTTTCACTAGTTTTTTGGAGGACTATCGGTGAAGGGAAGCAACAGCCTCAACACTAGGGTAGTGGTACCGAACGCAAACAGACGTCACAACACACGGCGTGTGCTGTCGGATGCCTGAATAACCTGATGTGTTTCTTCCCTGTCACGTAGGTAAATACATCTGAAACCACATCATCTGTCATAACGGCAGGACTTTACAAAAAGCATCCCGTGACAGCTGGTGGACAAAACCCCGTTATCAACTCACTAGTGACCACAGCAGTGAAAAAGCCTCGAGCTCCCCAGTCTTAGTGAAGAGCAAGTACCTGGGTGACAGCAAACCACGCTGATATTCAGCAATTTTTGGCTGGTCCCTGCCTTCCCGACAGCCTGGACCTTACGTATTCAGGTCTCTGCAGGAGGTGAAACTTAGGACAAGCAATTTACACTTAACTCCATTTTTACATGGAAAAGGACGAAATTAACAGAAAAATTAAGGCGACTGTCAAGCAAATAGCAGTGATGTACAGCCTTGGTCTGGAGAGATTATGTCAGGCTTTCAGGGGTCCAAATAAACTACAGGAACCCAATGGAGCTGGGGGGAGAATCAAACCCTGACATATAAAGCAACAGGGCTCCAAAATATCCCCAAAATCACATTTTGACCATTTCATCTGCCGCGGCCACAGGCTCAGCTCCAAGCTGGAGGTGCATTTCTACCAGCATCCACCCTGCCCCTGTCCTGGCTGTGGTGCAGCGGCCGTGCTGCCAAGGCGGGAGCCGGACAGGCGAGGAGGCATCGTCCTGGCGCTGACGCCTGTCATCCTGTCAGCCTTGACCTTCAGGCTGTCCTCAGCATCCTCACCACAGCCTGCCCGCACTTCCCCGCTGACTGCGAGCGACTGTTGTCTCGCTGCCTGACCTTACGCAAACACGATCCAAACAGACAGCCCACCTCAGCTACGCTGCCTGCCGCTAATACCGGGGATTGATAGCCACATGGAATTATCTCCCTGCTCGACCTTCATTACTGGGTGGCATATTCTGACTGACAGCCAACCTCATTCTGGGGAAAGCTAAACCACCCATTTGTTTTTTTTTTGTTGTTTTTTTTGTTTTTTTTTTTTACTGTCTAAAAGTGGAGGAACTTCCTTTTATAAAGAAAATTGACACTTTCTTAGATTTGACAGAAGAAGAAGCCTTTGTTAAGCAGAAAAATGTCTCAGAACTTGAATCTTTCCCAGACCACCGTGCATACCGATAACAACGCAACGCAAGGCTGCTCCGTTGGACAGTGTGCCGGGTCCCAGGGCAGGTGTGTTCCTGCCTCAGCAAATTTTACATGGCAAGTTTTCAGCTCTGCCATGAGCTATAGGTTTCCGGGGGGGAGCACGGCTAGCCCTAAGGCAACGAGCGACGTATGGTCGCGGCAGGGGGGAAGAAGGGATGCAGCTCGAGCGAACCCGGCTTTACTTTACCCGGTCGCAACTGCCAGCGAGGACTGCACGGGTAAATATTGGCTTTCTGTCGCTCCCCGCCAGCCAGCTCGCAAATGCACGATGCATGTGGCCTCAACAGCTTTCCGAAAAGAAATTGGGACTCTTCCGCTCAGATATTCAGATTTCTGATAGTAGACACGAAAGATACGGAGTTGTGTTTTCTATCGGACCCCCTGTGGTCCCTTTTTGTGACCTCCCGATAGCAGAGGCCAGAAACTGCTCTCCGCAGTCTCCGTACCAAACTCCTCCGGCTCCCGGGTGTTATGCAGAGCCTGCCCTCGGCCAGAAAGTGCAGTGCCGCAGCCCTGCAGCCATCCCCGGGAAATGGAGACAGCGGCGACCAAGGAGGAATATGAACCTTCAGCCTTTCGATGTGAACGTAACCATCAGCTAGAGACAGCTAAGTCATAGCAAAACATCTTGCTCCTTTTTTGGGATATTTTCCATGAATCACTTGAACAGCCTGGCTGTGGCCCGTTTGCCCCTCTGGCAGCACCAGCAGCCTCCCAGCCCGGCGCAGCTGGACAGCCACAGGACTGGGGTCTACAAACCACACAGGTTTTAAAGCAAGATATTTTCCTGAGCCCACACCTCTCCAGCCCCACGGGGAGGGAATGGCGGGGGGGCACCTCGGAATGGCGGGGGGTCACCTCGGCCAATACCATCCAATGCCTCCTGCAACCAACCCTGATGAAGAGGACGCTCCAGCTCTGCCTCTGCTGCATCCTGTGAGAAGTACATGGAGTAGCCATGACCAGCATCCAATCTCCTCTCTGTTATGGACCAAACAGAGGTCTTGTCCCTACAACAGCATCCTGCCGGGACGAGCCCTGCCTATGGAAGAGGGGCAACAGGGGCACCCGGTTTCCCCTGCCCAGTCTCATCCCCTACGTGCTGTGCCAACCATCTCCTAAACACATGCCTAAAACCCTCAAAGCCCTGACCCTCTACGGGACTTGGGTGCCCAAACGCCATCCAGCTCCCGGGAGAGTGCAAGACCTGAATGCCTGTGCCACAGGGACACCAACTGCCCAGTGTGCTCGGTGACCAAGGAGCCCAGTGCCCTCTACAACACACTCCTGTGCACTGCACGCTTTTGCTTACCTTTTTGGCTCTGGATTTGGCTGGGATTTGGAATCTTTCCTTTTTTTGGACTCCTTTTTGGAATCCTTTTTTGTCTCCGCTTCAGCGGCAGGGGTATGAGCCACTTTGCCCCCCTCGCCGTCGGCACTTGGCTGTGACCCACCAAGTAATTCTGCCATGTGTTGGCTTTGGGGAGCGATTGAAACACAGGGGGCAAGGCCAGCAGCAAAAGTGAAAGAAACAAGAAGAAAGCATGAAAAAACTCCAAATAAAACAAAAGGAAACTAAACTGAAAGGAAACAACTGAAATCAAATAAACCATTGGCAAAGAAGGAACAAATGAGCAAAAGAAAGTCAGAACTAAAAAAGAAACTAAGGAAGCAAAAACTCGGTTTCCATGACAAGATGTATGAAAGTAACTGCAAAAGCAAGTGGCAGCCTTGCAACGTGAAACCTGGGCAATGTGTGTCATAATTCGGGATGGTATTTACCAGAGGGTTTATGAAAACACATAATTATTTTATAACATTCCTTTCTTCAGCAGCATATGCAGGATCGAGAGTGATATCTCAAAGTATACAATGCAATGCAACAGAAAAACAGCAGAAGAAGAAGCTGCACTAGATGCTACAGCTGTCAACAAAATAAATAGAAAAGGAAAGAGCACAGCTCCAGTTCCTCCCATCAAAGGTTTTACACATTTCAGAGAAAGGAATGGGCTACCTCTGAAACTGAAATTGCTTTGCAACAGCAGCAAGATAAAATTTTCAGTAATGTCTAAGCAATTTCCAAACTGACGTCACATGGACTTTAAATGAGATGTGGGTGCCCGAGGGCTTAAAGCCCTTCTGAACACTGAAGTTTGATACTGCTGCAACTTGTCAGATCCTCTCGCACAGCAATTAAAGCAGCACAGCGTAGCGTTTGCTTCTATTTATTCAACCCATGACAGTCACTTGTGCTTCAACTCTATCTTGTCCAGAACTGCATCTAGCAGGTGCCTGGGTAAGAAAGTTAAAAACTCTCATTTCTGGATCCTCTACGTGCATTTTTATTGCTTACATTAAACAAGCCACGAGACAAACAAACAAACCAACTATGCCACTAGAAGCGCTGCTGCCAAACATCCACTGTGAAAACAAATTGGGGACTGTTGTGCATTATCGAAAGGAACCTATAATTTGACAAAGTCATCCCTTGCTGGCAGGGGAGCTGCTAGCCAAGAAGAATTTCTTACCTGTTGCCATGAACATGTGATGCACAAAAGGCAAAGCTGTAGTGAAGTAAGGTGGGGTCAATCATAGCTCCGTTTTCTGCGCGCTCTAGCAAATCTCTGAGGTAGCAGAGATGTCTGTGACAGCCTCTCACTCCATTACGTGCACAATACTCATCTAGCACAAAGACCTGGCCAGGACTAAACCAGCCCTGTTTAGAAATAAAGAGACTTGATTTTAAATATAAGTTATTAAATACACAGGCTATCAGATTTGGAGGTGTAGTTGTCAACTGTTCTAATAAAAGAAATGCAAACCTAAGGCTACATCAAGGAAAAAGGAGAGAGGTCACTCTTAAAAAATACAGTCTGTATATCAGCACCCAAACACAGCACATACTCAGTGCAACTGCTTACAAAAACACGTTATGCTACCCTTAGAGGGAAATGTAATTTAAAATGCTAAAAAGTTAGGTAAGTTCGTGTCAGTGCCTAGCGAAAAAAGAAAAAAAAAAAAAAAAAGACACCTTTAAGAGATGACAAAGGCTTGGTTATTTAAACAGCATGAAACAGTAATCTCATTTCGGGTATGGGACTGTACATTTGTCCAGGAGTAAGAAGACTGATCTGGGGGAAAGCATGGAGGATTACACTGAATAATGACTTCTCTTGCATCTGGCAGGTAGGAATGTCCTGCAGACGGAGGAAGGCAGCTCCGCAGCATCAGAAGGGGACGTTTCCCATCGTCCGTATTGCACAGCACTGGCGACGCGCTCTGCCGTCGCCCACCTCCTCGGCATCGCAGCAAAGGGAAGCTCTGCTCATGAGCAGGGTTTCTCTACACATCCAGAAACCTCAGACAATTTCTGTCTGTCAGTCCTGAGGGCCTGGTGACACATGGCTTGTGGTGCAATGTCCGTGCTCCCAAGGAGGACACCCTTCCCCATGAGGGGACGGCTCCAGTGAACACCCCGGGACAGCCGAATAGGAGTGCGCCTCTGCCTTTGGGAAAGGTGCTAGCGAGAACAAGAGTATTCTTGTAGATTGATTTTCAAAATGCTGCAAAACCGTCAATATTTACATGGAAATTTGGGTGCTAAACAATTGCTAAGACGCAGCTCTGGAATGCATCAAGCTGCAAAATCTTTCATCGTTTAATTGAAAAGTTCCTGCAGCGGGCGGGAGAGTACTTGAGGCAGAGCACTGCCCCTATAGGCAACTTCTTTGCCACCCCATCTGTTACCCCAAATGCTACATCTTAGAAACAACACTGCTGTGAAAGATTAAAATATATTTTCTACCACTCAGATGACACCAAATCTTTTCTAGATGCCAAAATAGCTGCTTTGAAAAGAGTTGAAGAAATATCAATTAAGAGCTCAAAGACATAGAGAAGGATTTGCTCATCCTTATTGGGCCAACTCCAAAACAGCTTGAGAAAAGAATTAAAATAATGAGGGGAAAATGATAGATATAGGGAGTAGCTACAGTGCTGGGATCACTAGAAGTGCACACTTCAAAATGAAGACACAGAACAATGCAGATGGGACGGCACTCTGGAAGGCTATTTTTTAGGAGGGGTATATTTGCTTTCACCGCTTTTAACGGTATTTTTGTTTGCTTTTTGGCTGGTGGTATTATGCTTGATTCTGGATTTCTTTATATTGCCTGTTCGTTACATCCTTGGACTGTCTCTTCACCTTGCCTTTCCTTACACAAGTCTTCGGTGACCAGGCATGTTAAAAATATAGAAATGTCGTAACTGTTCTGTGATAGAAAGAGGTGTCCATTTAGTTACTGGGGTAGAAATGCAGCTGAAATTGTTACATTCACCTAACACATACAAAGGACTCAGTCCTCCCTATGGGGTGAGATCTTGTCCCTACTGACACCAACAGGAAGGCTGGCACTGTGCTCACTGGAGACAGGTATCAAGGCCAGAGTTTGGGGTGAAGGAAGCAGGAGGCTGGACCCAGCGCACCTCACATTGCTGCCCTGCACCGGGGTCTGCTGGTCCTCGGGTGGAGAGGAGAGATGGGGCAAACACTCAAGATTGCTGCCATGGCTCAATGAGGGGAAGCTTGAGAAGAAGCTCTGAGGTTCAGCGATGAGCCTCATACCTCATGAGAGCACGGGCAAGCAGACTATGAGTGGAGAGACAGAGCCCAGGAGGACCAGGTGGTCTCCTTTCTATTTCCTACAGCAGAAGTAGGAAATAAAAAACCTGCTGCCGAACAAGGCTCCAGAGGAGCAGCAAATGCTTCTCCCCGCAGCCCTAGAAAAAATCTAAGGTTTGATGAAAGGCAGTATTTAGACAAATCCCCCACATCCTCAGGCAGATCCTGGCTCTCGATTAAGATTTGCCTGGCACAACCAGCTGGCAACCAGCCAGCCTGGCAAACGCAGCTGATAGCGGTGACACACCAGGTGTCTCACCCCAACACAGCTAGGTGTAGCTCAGTTTGGTCTCCAAGATGGTCTTCAACAGCGTGAGGAAACCTAGAGGTGCCATTGGAGGAAAAACAGGGTTTTTGAAGGAAACTTTTCACTTTTCAGTAACCGAATTTTCTTATCTACCATAGGTACAACAAAACAATTTCATTTTGGTAGCCTGCTTCATGGACCTTTGAATCTAACTCCTTCACATCACCCCAGGTAAGCTGGGCACTCTAGAAGACCACCTTTCCTTGTCACATGCTGTATTGTATTATGTGAATCCCACAAATGCTGATATCATCGGAAATATGGCTCCAGCAGGGACCTAGCTGCATGAGCCAGATGCTGGCAGTAGGTTGGGAAGTCTTGGGAAGAGTTGAAGAGCAGTCTCAGAAATAACACACCCATCCAAGCAGAAAGGAATGAAGACCCACACATTGTGTGGGGTCCACGCTAAGCTGGAAGAGCTGCCTACTCTTTCCAAAAGTCCAGGAAGAGCTGTGAACGCAACTGTGCTACCAGTTTGTGGACGATAGGCAGGAGCCCTCAGCAAGTGATGCAGACAACACTCTTCCCCTTCCCCTGCGCGGTGCTCTCTGCCAGCACACATCACTTCTGCCATAGCCGAGATTAGTCAGCCAGCCTGTTTGTTTTCATAGGGATGCCTGGCTCAGCCGGTGAGTGGGCTCGCAATAACGTTGTTTAACCTGGTTCCATGGAAAGGAGGCAATGCTGAGCGATCCTCTGTGTCAGGGTGAGCCACCGTGTCTGGGTATGTCTTTCCTGGCACCTCCATGTCCACATTTGAAAACAAGAAGAGGTTTGACGAGGCAAAACTCTGTGGGACCTTGTGTGGGAGTGTCCTGTAGGGAGAATAACAATTGCCCAGCGGCACACAGAGTGGACAGAGCAGGCTTACCATGGGCTCTCACAGCTCCTCCAGGCAAGCCAGCGCAGTGGTATCCCCAACGGTCCACAGACATAACAAGAGAAATGGGAGTTCTTTGCAGTTGAACTCAAATTCTGAGGTCAGTCTGTTTTTTTAAATGCCATAATCAGGACAAAACCATATTAAAATAAGTAAAGAAGCATGTGAAATCCAAGCGTAGATGAACACAGCCCATTATTCTCTTCTTTATAACACTCTGCAATGGGTGATTTGAAAGAAGGTGGTTAATTGGTGATGCTCTGCTCTGAAGAGGCACAAGTCTTGGTGCTGAGGGGAGCTCCAACACTCCAGTAGCTTCTAGCCAGGGCCTAAACACCTCAATAACAAGCAGATGTGTGGCTGGTGGGTTTCTTGAAGAGAAACATTATTAATCATTTTCAGTGATAGCCTTGCACCTCTCCACGAATTTAATTCAACGGCCACAGCTCTCTCACCAGGCCTGAGACTGCACAGAGATAAACCAGCTGCAAGCCAACCTGTCAGACATGCATGGATGGGGATGGTCTTCCTAGGGTCAGCCATGCGTGGGGAGCAGAAGCTGCATGCCAAATTCACTGCCTGCCGGAGCAAAGACCTTGATGGAAACGGTGAGGAACCTGCTGCAAGTCTGACAATGCTGCCACCAAGCCTACTTGTACCACTTGGGTATCTGCTGCAGCCTTCCCCCACCCCATCTTTACCTCAGGGGACATCCACAACCATTCCTCCTAGCCCTGCGTCTCATCAGGAAGGTGACACCTCACTACGGCTAATGACACTTACTGGATCTGAGCCTTTGAGGACATCAGCCCTTGTGCGCGGTGCAAGGAGCAGAGCAGGTGAGAGAAGCACCATGGCTGAGGGGGGATGTGGAGGACAGGATTTGAGACTGACAGCAACACTGCCAACTGCTCACTTGTGTTCCCAGGTTGCTGCTTTTAACAGCAAACCACTCCAGAGCCCCAGCTCCAGGGAAGATGAAGGCTATGGGCACGGGGTGGTCCTTCTGCTGAAGAAGCCCACGATGACACACCAATTTGGAGGTTTCTGTGCAACACTAGGAGGGTGGCAGGTCAGGATCTGCCCCATACCATGTCCAGGGGAGGACCTCCATTCCATTTCAGGCCCCTCTAGAAAGGTTTCAGCCTGTTTTCTCAAAAACTAAGAGCCTCTCCATCCTCCTCACTGAAACTGCTAAAAATTAATTGTTCATGTTGTATTGTTAAGGGTTATTTCTCATTCAAACCCTAACAGTACCTAAAGCCCCCAAGCACTACACCCCAGCCAAAGGCTATAAGCTGTCCTGGAGCATCCCAGCGCCACTGTCCTGTTGATCATGTTACACAGCAGTGGGCTGCGAGCTGCAACCTGTGCTCATGAGAATAATCAGGATGGGCATGCGACTGCATGAGCGAGGACAGACCGCAGCATTGCTGCAGTTATCCACCTAGTCCCACCTGTTACCTGCTCTGGATCCCTGCTCATAAAGAGACACAAAGCTGGGCCAGAGTTACTCCTGGTGGGACTCCATTGACAAGGGAGGTGGTACCAGACCGGCATCTTTCCCCTGTTTTTTCATCCAAAAGACTCTGGAAGGCAGTGCGGGAGGCTGCAAAACACTGCTCTCTACTTCACATCCCCACACTGGTGTTTGTCTTTGCAGGAAGAAACATTTTAAGCATTGCAAACAGAAATGATAAAGACAGTGCAACCGGAGAAGAACAGCAGTCAGTTCACTGCAGGCAGCCTCTCAAAAGAAAACACCTCTGGGCCAAATTCAAACCTGGTGTAAACAGAAGTCAATCTTCCAGCAACAGGGGGATTAGCCCCCACTCGCACTAGCTTTGACTTTGCTGCTTGATGTTTATATCACTAGAGACCAAAGAATATACTTGCCAGACAAGAATAGGAATCATTAAGTCTGTGGTCCAAAGTGAGGCGCTGAACCATCTCAAAGAGTGAAGCGTGGTCAAAGTTACAGGGATTGGAAGAGATAAATTCATCCATGCCATGCTTTTGAGCTCTATCTGCATCTGTTCATTTATACATATAGAGAAAGACACCATTTAGAGAGTTATAAGACATTTTAGTTGACAAATACAACAGAAAAAAATATACAGTATGAGGCATGAAAGCTAAATATCTCCTCTTCCCTACATTGCCATTAACTTTTCTCTTTGCAGGCTATACAGTACACTTTTCACCTCCCATTGTCAACTTGCATCAGTTATGGGCTATCTTATTGCATTTAGGCAAAAGATTTTAGAATTAACATCTTGTCAACTGCTCATTATAGTGCATTTATCCTGTACTTAAAACCAGAACACAAACCCACGAACTTACTCTGTATCTTACAATACAGTATGAGTTAACAGAATTTTGGCTCATGTAAGTAAATTAGCTCCTATTTAGATAGCTGTGGTTAATTATAATAGATTCTGCCATTCTAATGAAGTTACAGCTGTAGCAGTTTCTCTACATTTACTAGGTTTTCTAGGTATCAGACCAGTTATGTTGTTCTTTATCCAAACGCCAATGTTTGTCTCCCCACGGCGATATTTTTTCTAATGGCAACTTCAAATGCTACCTCACTGAAATAAAAAGATGCTCTTTTAAGCATCGCTAAGAAGTTAAATTACTATGTAGTTTGTTGTCACTGAGGCAGTAACCCGACAGTGCACTGGAGCTGCCAGTCATCCCGACGGCGGGGCTGAATTTCCTCTGCCCGGATTGCGAGCTGCCATTTTTGGGTGAATTAACAGCCTCAACGTATTCACACTTCTCTGCTTTGGGTGACGTTTATGGGCACTAACTCCTAGGGGCTAATTAATTAATCTCAACATGGTTAACTAAAAATACACCGAATTCAGCAGTTGAAATGAAGCCGCCAAGCCGGCCTGGGTGCGGCCAGCCGGGACCCCGCTGGGAGCTGGCTTTGTTCTACCAGCGGCCAGGGAATTAAAGGACACCTTTCACTCGGTTTTGTCTGTGCTCAGCTTCCTACTATATGGGTTCTTGCCAAATCCTCAACAAAGAGAATAGGATTTAAATCCTTCCCCTGTTTATAGCGTCCTAGGGGAACTGGGTGGCCTTGAAACAATGTGGCTGAAAGGACACAAAACCGCAGTTTTTTGCAATAGTACTATATGGTAACTATTTGTTTTAAAACAAAATCCCTCTTTACCAGAAGAAACAAAAATCCTTAATTAAAAAAAAAAAAGAGAGAATAAAAGGAGCTTTAAATGATAATGAGATCGTGTTCTTTTATATATGTTTTACTATTTAATATTAAGCTGTGACGGATGGCGTGTCTTCCTAAACACTCCGTTCGTGTCTGTGCTCTCAGAAAATACTGATCATTGGAAGCAATCTTTAAATTTTCTGTATAGTCTGTCGTTAGCTATATACAAACTATATAAATAACATCACCCACTGGAAAGAAATCAGACAAATTAAAACATGTAACATTTCAATTAGCTGCTAGCAGTAATTCAGCAGTAGCTGGCAATTTTCCTCATTAAAATCCTGCTTGATAAACACTGATTTTTTTTCCTACAGCTGGTTAATTTTTGAGGGTCTGCTCCCCTGTTTGGCTCCATGCACCAGGTCCTGCTGCCCCCCCTCTGCCTCCGCCAGCAGCTCCGTCCATTCAGCACAGGGACAGAAGAAGCCACCGCCAGCCCCGAGCGACGTGGCAGTGTGAGGGCTGGCTTGGGGGGCAGGGGCAACCTCCCCGACAAGAGCATCACCTCCCCGGCACCTCTCCAGCATCTCTGGGCAGGGGATGCGAAGCCACCCAGCCCTGGGGCTCACGGGCCGGCTCCCATCTCTTTTGGCAGCTTTCTGCCCCATCAACTGTCCCTCTGGGCCAAGATCGATTTGACCGAGTTCGCTCCCAAAGAGTTTGACTGTTTTGTTTTTTTTTTTAATTCCATCCCTAGTGCCTGCAAAATGTTTTAACAGATATTATCAGACTATTTTTAATGGCTTGCTGCTCTGCCCGACTCCTCTGAGTTGACTGCAAGCTGACAAATTGGCTGGAGGCTTTCATTTGCCAGCTTCGCTCAGAGATTTTATTACTTTTCAATTAGGAGCCCTGATACACTGTCAATCCTCCCGCTCAGCCAACGAGGCTCCGAGAGCCGAGTAAATCAGCTGGAAATTCAAAGAGTCCTCTAGCCCTTTAGCTGGTGAACTTTTTTGAGCAGATGTGCTAGAAAGCATGTTTGAAATGAATATTTTTTTACTCCAAACGGAGCAGCCCTTTGGCCGGTGTGCACCAGCCCAGGCTCTGCTGGTTGGGATGGAGCTGAGGCTCTGCCCTGGGCTTTATAAAATCTCCCTCCTCGAGGCAGGGGCACGACCTTCCATAATGAGGGGCAATTTTACTTGCACTAATCACTTTGAAGCCACACCTTACTGAGCATCCTGTCGGGTGCCTGCTCGAAAGCCCATTTGCCCCAAATCTCACCATCCCAGAAAAACCACCTGAAGAGAGAAGCATCTGACATGGCATTGCATGAGCTCAGGGGACCAAAAAGGTGTGACGTGCATGACTTCTGCTCAGTTGATGGCTTAAAATGTGGTTTTCTGCCATGGGAAGGAAGATGAGCAGCCGCAGCTCTCCCTGCAGCCGCCCAGCACCGCAATTCTGCATTGGCAGAGCCACGGGGCTGGGCGGGTGCACATCTCTCATAAAGCCGGTGTGGTTTGAACTAGAGATGTCTTTGGAGCATGGTAACATGCATTTCTCTTAAATGGAAGATCTGCTCTGGGCCAGATGCTTAAAATTCTGAAGAATAACTAGGAGCAGGTTAAAAAGGATAGTCCTACACTAAACCTACCTTCCCTTAATTGATTGTTAAAAATAAAAATGCCATGCAACCTGCAATTTATTTTTGCATTTTGATTTTTCTAATGGTCTTGCTTTTAAAGATGAAATTTAGGAATCAAATGATACCAAAAACCATTAAACTTCCTAGGCAATACAAAAAGAGAAGGATAGATTTAAATATATTGCTCCTCTGTTCCAGACAGCTGATCTGTGATTTAAAATAATGCCAACATCTACATAGGAAATAAGTTCTATGTATAATCTATCCTCTTTCAAAATGGCTTGTGCAGTTTGAATGAGATTCTAAACAAATTACAAAATGAGAATGGCTAATATTCACACCCAAATTGTACAGCTAATTTGCAAGTACTTTAAATTAATTGTTTCAGTCAAGTACGGTTGCTTTTTTGACCCTGTGCTGTTATTCTAGCTAAAAAAGAAAGAAGAAAACAAAGAAAGAAAGTTATACGATGCTCCAGTAATTTACAATCCCTTCCCAAGGTGCTGTGCCAAGTTCGCCGGTGCTTCTTTGTTCGGGGTCCCAGCCAAAACGCTGCTGCAGGCCCACAAAAGTTATCTTACATATTTAGACAAGCTGCACACAACTGCAGCTGAAAGGTGTTCGATGGTGGTCTCGGAAGGGAGGCTGCCAGCGGAGGTAAATTGGCAGCACAGACTCCACGACCCTTTCTTCTGGAAAACTGCAGACTCTGGCCTTTTATATTACACTTGGTCACCTACATTATGGTCTTTTTTTTTTTTTTTTTTTTTTTTTTAATACTGCTGGGTTTATTTTGTTCACTTTTTACCCCATTTGCATTTTCCACTGACTCCATTAACTAGCCCCCCGTCACACACACACTCCCTACGAGTGTTTGAAATCAGAGTCTTAAAAATCTGCCGGTGTCGGGAACACAAAGATTTCAACAACAACAATAATGAAAACCAAAGGACTGTCCCACCATTTGGTCCTCTGAGGGCTGTATTTCTCTAACTGCTGTTTAAAAACAAGAGGCAAAACAGTCAAATCGCTCATTCTCTTTTTTCAAATGGATTTCCCTGCCCTCTGCATTTCTTTTGCTCCAGCAATAATTTTGGCAGATTTTGCTCTGAGAGTGGTGAAGTTAATAGCGGGGGACAAGCTCCATAAAAGAATTCTTGTTATAAAAGGCTTTAGGTAGCCATTTTATTGTAAGAATTTCTTACTCCAGATTTACTTCTTTTCGTTAATGAGTGACTTTGTTTTAGTACCAAAGGCAACTGAACATCCAGGAAATTTTATGACATGTTTGCTTATTAAAAAAAAATAAACCAAAACCAACAAACAAAAAAACCCAAACAACTGTAAATTAAAAGGTGACTTTGTGTCTTACTCATCTGGAAAATGTGTGCTTGTCATATCTGCTTGACATTACAAGAATGAAGATGTGGTTTGGACAGTAACAAACAATGACACTAGTCAACCTCATCAGGAGACATGAAATAAAGGAATGACAATGATTGATGGCAGCTATTCAGTTACAGATATTTCTAGAAAACTCTTCACTGGGCTGGCCGGGAAAAGCGGGAGAAGTTTTCCAGGCTCCGTGGCGTGCCCACCGCGACCTGCTGCGGGGCGGCGGGGTGCCCTCCTGCTCTCACCGGTTACGCGGAGCTAACGGAGACTCTTGGGCTGCGACTCGGTAAAGACAAACCCAGGGGAAGAGCCTAGAAACCTCATTTTATTCGGCTTTACCAGCAAACACCAGTGTCCTGGGATGGGGGGGAACCGCACAGGGACTTCAAATGCCAGGCTGCTGTCTGGGAGCTGCAAGCTGCGGCCGCTGCAGCTCAACTCGCCTCTCAGCTGGGTATCTCAGAGCTCTTTTTATTTCTTCATATTATTCCATGTTAGAAGATAGCTTTAAATTTAATCGGATGTTTATTCCTGTGTTTTATGGCTTCTCCCCTGCTGCAAACGAATTATCTTCTGCTCGAGTTACAATTCCAATAAACGATTATGGATGTTCCTGTAAATCACCAGACATACTAGGCACGGAATTGAATCTAAGTTATCTAACGTTTGGTAGTTAATTGAATAAGAATTTGTCGTATGCACTTACATAGTTCCTTGTGTGGCAAGTTAAAAATACAGTTTTAGAACAGCTACTTATATTACAAGACATTGTTTCACAGCATTTTTATAACTATTTAAAAATA